AAACCTGGACGAAACCTTGGATGTGGTGCTGTGCAGAAAAATAACGTGATATCGAGGTGCGTTGTTCGTCGTGTGTGTGTGTGTGTTCTTGCCCAGGGCTGTGTCGGTGTAAGACGAACCTCCTTGCAAAACTTTAAGACCGAGGGGATGCGAAAAGACAGGAAAAAAGAAAAGAAAAAGAAAAACATGGTTTCAGGAGCAAGACCCTGAGTCAAACCAACCCTCTCTGTGTATGAGTGTCTGTACATATTATGATCATTATGATATTAATAAATAATTCAACTTTCAAAGAGAGCTTTCAGATTACTTGTTAGTTTTTACGTGTCATTTCGTCTCTCTGTTCCCGACTGCTAACACACTCGTGGTTAGAAACGAATTTTTAGTCCGTGCGATGATCCTGTTTGTCTGCATCTTATATTGTCTTATGATATAAAACCGAAGCGTGAGATTGTGCCAAGACAATGTTGTGTAGTGTCATATGTAGACGTGTTGATTGCCATGTTGTGGAAATAAAGAAATTTAACCTGAAGGCATTTTCTTTTACTCCCTGTGTGTGTGTGTGAGAGAGAGATAGATATGGAGAGAGAGAGAGAGAGTGAGTGAGTAAGCGAGTGAGTGAGAGAGAAAGAGAAAGAGAGAGAAAAAACACGACAGAGAATTCAAATTAAAAAAACTAAGATCGTATGTGTGTGTTTACCCTACTTTGTGCGTTTGCGTGTGTGTGCTCGCTCTCCCGCGAAGGTATCAAAGAAGCCCACGCAGAGGAAACAACAGAAACGACAAAGGAAATTTCGCGTCACACCGAGCACATCTTCCCGTAGTTGCCCCCTTTCCCCCTCTCCCTTCCCCACACCCCTACCCCCCACCCCTATCATCTCCAACCTTCAGTGGCTCTTCCCCCCCTCTAACACCCACCCCCTCCTCCCCCTCCCACTTCTACCCCAGCCCACCCTACCCCCCTCCACACACACACCATCTCGGAGCTTCAGTGGTTCTCCGCCCCTCCCCCTAAAACCCACCCCCTTCCTCCTCCCCCTCCCATTTCTTCCCCCCTAACCCCAACCCCCTTCCCCCATCCTTCGCCCTTTCCCCCATCATCTCGAACCTCCAGTGGCTCTTCCCCCCCTTCCCCTAACACCTACCCCCTCCTCCTCCTTATTTCTTCCCCCCTCCCCCTCCTATTTCTTCCCCCACCCCCTCCCCCCTCATCCCCCATCATTCAGTGGCTCTTCCCCCCCTCCCCTAATACCCACCCCTCCTCTTCCTCCTCATTTCTTCCCCATCACACTCACCCCCACCCCCTCCCCCTCCCATCTCTACCCCCCACCCCCTCCCCATCCCATCTCTACCCCCCACCCCCTCCCCCTCCCATCTCTACCCCCCACCCCCTCCCCCTCCCATTTCTACCCCCACCCCCCTCCCCCTACCCCTCCCATTTCTACCCCTCCGACCCCTACCCCCTCCCATTTCTACCCCCACCCCCTCCCCCTCCTATTTCTATTTCTACCCCCACCCCCTCCCCCTCCCATCTCTACCCCCCACCCCCTACCCCTCCCATTTCTACCCCCCTCCCCCCTCCCATTTCTACCCCACCCCCTCCCCCTCCCATTTCTACCCCCCACCCCCTACCCCTTCCCCCTCCCATTTCTACCCTCCACCCCTACCCCCTCCCCTTCCCATTTCTACACCCACCCCCTCCCCTTCCCCCTCCCATTTCTACCCTCCACCCCTACCCCCTCCCCCTCCCATTTCTACCCCCCCACCCCCTCCCTCTCCCATTTCTACCCCCACCCCCTCCCCCTCCCCCTCCCATTTCTAACCCCACCCCACCCCCACCCCTCTACACCATCTCGAAGCTTCAATAACCCTCATCCGAATCTCATTTCACAGTTTCCTTCGAAGCGCAGGTTGACCGCTTCCCACGAGACCTCGAGCTTAATCAGAGGAACTCCCGAGAGCTTCAGGAAAGGACATGGTAAGAAGAAGAGAGAGAGAAAAAAATATATATATCCTTAAAAAAGATCTTTTGAAGTCTGGACGAGGAGGAGGAGGGGAAAAAAAGAGGGAAGAAATAGAAAATGGAAGAAAGGGGTAAAAAAAGGAGAGAGAGAGGGG